GCCCCGGCACAAGCGAGCAAACCCTAGCGAGCCCCGCCGCACCTCCCCATCGGCGCCATGGGCTGGCATTGGATCAGCGGCAAGGGGAAGCACAACCATGAGGCCGGCTCCTCGCCTGGCCGCCACCGCCGCTCTAGCAAATCCGCGTCGCAAGCACCACCATCCCCGCCATCTTCGGCCCCGCCCTTGCCCCCCACCGGCCTTTCAAATCGCGCCGCTGGTGGCCGGCCAGCGCAACAGGATGAACGTCCCCGTCGACGTCTGCCGCCGGTACTTGGAGACGTCAACGCCACTCCCGTGGAGTGATGTTCATTTGCCAAACAACTGGCATCTCTCCGTGGACCGCGTGCCAATCCCGGCGGTGCCGGTGAGCGGCCGCGCCTGCCGCGAAGAGATCCACCGTCACCGCCAACTGCTGCCACCGGATCTGCTGCGGGACTCCGGGTACGACTTTGACTCGTCTCTATGGGACACTTGGTTCCGCGACGAGCACGACCTGCGTTGTCTGACCTACTTTGGTGGCCAGCGGCCAACGCGCCAGGCTCGTATAGACAGGCCGCCAGACGCGCGCGCCCGTAGGCGTGTGCACGGCATCTCGCCGACAGCGTCGCCTTCGCCATCTCCGTCCCCTCCACCGGCGCCATGCATGACCGACAAGGAGGAGGCCCGGCTCATGAGGCGTGTCATGAAGGATTCCATGAACACACACGACGAGCGGCAATGAGATGGCCTTGAAACCGCATCGGCCCTCTCTACGGCTGGCGACGTGGCCATCCCGGAGCTGGACATCGCCGTCAAGGAGGAGGTGCACAAGAAGTTGCCCCTCGCCGCGTGGGACCCTCGTCTAGTGGGCCAGCACTGGAGCTGGTCCTGCACGGTGCCGAAAATGGCCGACTCCCAGTCTGCAACGCCACCACGCTCGCGGGAGCAGGAGCCACGGGAGGAGGTGGTGCAGGCACCACCGGTGCAGCCGGCATCGGTGCCTCTGGTCTGGCAGGGGCCGCCAGCCCACCTGTGGCAGCCACCGGCCTACATCGACCTCTGCAGTGACGACGACGACAACTCCTGAAGACGACGGCGGCCCCAGCGACGGGCCTTTATCTACTTTTTTATGTTTGTTTATTAAGTTTTAGTTTAATTAAGACGTGCGTTGAACTTTGATACTATGGTCGTATGGGCATATGGACGTTTTATGTGTATATTCTTTTTTTGCATGTTTGCAAGTTTATTTTCTTTTTTTGGGGCAAAAATTTGAAGCCCACGACCCTGGATGTTTTGGGGTGAGGCGTGTCCGTTGGGCGCACCGATGCCCGCACGACCGCAAGCGGATGGCCGTGTCCATTTTCCTGCCCCAAACGGACAAACCAGACGTCTGTTTGGGGTCGCGCGTTGGAGTTGACCTAACATGTGTTAATAATGATGAACGGTGAACTAACATGGCACACTATTATATGATTTTTATTGGACTAACATAATAATCCAGTGTCATGTGCCAGTTCTTGTTTCGTAGTGTTTTTGGACTTTTCAAGAAATGAATTTTTTAGAGCCAGAAAAACATAAAAATACATCGGCAAAATTCGTCGTCACCAGAGAGACCAAAGGGGCATGGACCCACCTAAAGGGGCACCAGGGTCATGGCCCGAGGGGTGGCAACCTCCTACCGTGTGGCCAGCTCCTAGGTCGGTTGGCGCGCCTTTTTGCCTCAGGCTTACTCCAGAAGTTTTGCCACTACCTTTTCCCCCAGTTTTTACAGAGTTACAGAATTCCTGTGATCGATAACGGTGATGGGACTCAGATTTTAGCATCTAGAAACACTGGCATAGAAAAGATCCAATCTCAGAGGGTGCTCTTGCCCTTCAGGGGCCATGAACACCATGGACTAGAGGGGAAACTTCTCCCACTTAAATGGGAGGCCAAAGAATAAGAAAGATCTCCCCTCTCCCCCCCCTTCTTTTTCGCCGGCGCCAGAGCGCCGGCAGGGGAACCATCATCACCGTTATTTGTCTCCATCGCCTCCATCATTTTAACCACAATCTCCATGGTGGTCCATACATCCATAAACCTTTGTAATCCCCTACTTGAACATGTTGTTCGATGCTATAAATTATTATCCAATGATTTGTTGCACTGCTATTATGCCTGAGCAGATCCTTTTTGTCATATGGTGATTGGTGATTTATTATGATTGATTTGAGTTGAATGTTATGATATGTTGCTGTCTTCTGATGCTCATCATATAAGCACGGGCACATGTGGACCACACTCTAGGACTACTAGTATGTTGAGATAACAATGCATAGGGTGGTCGGAGTGATAGATATTACTGAGCCTTAGTATATGAATTGATGCACATGGAATACAGAGGGCCATAGATCTTAATTCTTAGTAGTTGCGAACGCTTGATAAGGGTTTCAACCATAAGTACATGTTATACAATGGATTTTGCATGAATGTTAGCATATGCCTCTCTCTCACATATAAAACTGCAACATATGATTATTGGTTTAGTATCTTCGCCAATTGCCTAGGGACAATTTCACAACACCTACCACCGCTATTCTAGACTCACTATTTTTTTAGGGAAAAGTCGGTCTGTGCCACTGCCAAAGTTGCATATTCGAGTGGTCTGTGCCACTAGCGCGTGCAAAGAAATTAGTTGCATGCCCCTGGGCGCCGTCTCCATGAGTTACCGTCTAATTGTCACCTCGTTTTAACCATTTCCTCCTCGATGGGACCAACAACTTATCAAGTTAACAACACCGATGACCATACACATTTGACCGTAGGCTCCTTTGTGTGGCCTAGAGTCGATGGGACAAGACAGGACGACACTCTATAGTGCTCGATAGTGGCACAACATTGAACATTCTCCTATTCACACGCTACAGTGGGCTAGCATTTAACTCAGGTGATCGACCGTTCCTTCTCCCTCGATGCCCCTCGAGACACTGCCCACCTATAATTATTGCCCTACTCCGACGTTCGCCGCAATACTCACCTTCCCTGCCCAACCACTTGCAGTAGATCTCTCTTAGTCTGCCATGTCAACGCCCGTCCCTAGGTTGAGGATGGCAGCTTGCTGGCTCGCAGGGAGGAGGACTCCTTGCCACCCCTTGCCACCTCATAAATACAGATGCAACATTTCGTTTAGGGATCAAGGGGTAGCTACCAAACCCCTTATATGACCTTTTCCCTAAATATGACCCCTCCCCACCCCCCAACCGCACATTTTTAGTTTAGCCATGGACGGTCTGAGTGAAAAGCCGTCTACCTCTCGCTTGCTCATAGCCTCCCCACCCGACGCCGCCATCCCTATCTTCACCGTCGGCTGCTCCCTTCCTTGATGACCGACAGAATGCAAAGGCAATTTCCCGTCACACCCCTGGACACCATCATCGGTGTCGGAGACCCACCGTCGGTCATGAATTCGGCGACGCTACCACTGAAACGACGACAACACGGGAGGAACATCATCGACAACACATCATCGCCGACGGTTGTCGGTAGTCGCTCCGCCATTACAACTGTACCGCCCTTGCCCAAGTTGTCCCGCAAAAGGATCGTCGGCCGTCGGCTAAGGCGACCGACAACACGGCGGCAGTGACAATGAGGATAAAGAAGACCGCGGCCACCTGGACGCTTCCCCCTCGACCTATCGCAGTGTTGGGGAGTACTGCGTGGCCTCCTGCAGCCGCACCGCCACCCCTTTCACCTCCGGCGGCCGAAGACGAGGTGAATTCGGCCGATACCACGAGCACCCACTTGGACTTGATGACATTGCGATGTCAATGCCATATACTCAAACGAGAGAACTTGAGGTGGTGAACGAGGCCGAGGAGGTTGTGGAGAGTCAAGTAATCAAGAAGAAGAGTGGGACGGAGAACCACAAGGCCGAGGAGGACAAAGCTTTGTGTGGAGCTTGGGTCAATTTATTTCTTCATGTTACACACTTATGTTGTCTATGTTTGTGCTGAAACGTGATCAACTCGTTACGATTGTGCAAGCAATCGTTTTAAAGATTTGGCAAAATAAAGTTTTTAGGTTAGGGGATCTGCTAGACGAGCAGCGATGACTTTTTTCAAAGAAATGAAATAGAATGAGGATATAAGACTTTTAGGATAGAGGATCTGTCACAGACGCTTTTATGGACTCCCATTGGCTGCAATTTGTGTCGTGACAACAGCATGGTCCGTTGCAGTCACCGGGAGCTCTCAATTCACACACCACAAACGAGCAGGAGGTAGACGACACAGCCGCATGCAGGTCCATACGGGGGACCCGACGAGGCGAGGCACCGAATATGCCGCACAGGATCGTGACCGCCGGGGTTGGAGTGTGGCCAGCACGTCGACACGCTCGGCCATCACCCCGCAGGTGCGGGCGTGAGGCGGCCATGCGAACCCGTGTGTGTGCCCACCACGACCACCACCCCGTCAGGAATCCGGCGTGTCCCCACTGACGAGAGAACGGAGCCCTCCATCTCCATCGCCAGCAATCCGCCGCGGCGTCAAAGGATGCGGCAGCGATAAGGGAGCGGATAGTGCCGCAGCCAATCAGCGGCCGGAGGCCAGCACACGCCCCTCATCCCCTCCCGGATTCCCTTCCACGACGCATGTGGCTTACGGCTTAACCCAACCCCCACCCACACCGAACCCAACGCGCGCGCGCATTAGAAAATTAGGCCTCGCCCGACCCACTCTCACTGCCCGCGGGCCCCGCACGCCACCTCCCCCCTTAACCTCCGGTCCGCAGCTGCCAGGACCCCTTCTTCCTCGCAGACGCTCGCGGCGGCTCATCCTCCCTCAGAGAAGGCGCGCACCGGCCGGTGGTGGAGAGAGGGGGAGGGTGGGAGAAGCGGCCGTATAAGGATCTCTCCGCGCTCTCTCGTCTCTCTCTCCGGTTTTGTACCTATCTATCTATCTACCTATACCTACGTACGGTTCGTGGGCCGGGCTGAGGAGGGAGAGAGGCCGCTGCTGCTCTTGTTGTTGGTCTGCTCGATGATGGCGGGAGCGACGTCAGCCACGGCCGCCGCGGGCGCATTCGCCGCCGCCGCAGCCGGCGCCAAGGTGCGGGGGTCCGCCGCCGTGTGCCCGTGGGTCGTCGCCGCCGGCGGCCGGAGGCGGTCCGGCGTCGTGCGCTGCGACGCCGGCGGGGATGCCCAGGCGGCGTCCAAGTTGGCCAGCATCACCGCGCTCGAGCAGTTCAAGATCTCTGCGGACCGTGAGTCCCTTCCTCCTCCTCGAATTTGCCGCCCTTGATGCGCTTCCTCTAGCCCTGCCATGTAAGGTTGTGCAGGTTTAGTTTGGTGGTGCGCGAATTAGGAGATCTCTTTGCCGTCGCAGCGTAAGTTTTGGTGCTGCCGATTCGTGGGCAGTACTTGGAGAGTTGGAGAAGAGAAAAAGGGAAACGTAGGGGAACTTGCATTGTTCTCCCCCAGTTTTGCTTTGATTGTTGTGAGCACATGCAGTATTTTTTCAGGTTATTGATCTGTCATTACTAATTACTCCCTCCGTTCCAAAATAGATGATTCAACTTTATACTAGGGTTAGTATAAAGTTAATACAAAGTTGGGTCATCTATTTTGGAACGGAGGGAGTAGCTGTGTTCACAGCCTATCTGTTCAGGTTTACAGAATAGGAGACAATTGGACTTAGAGATTATGTGATATCTTGAGGAAAACCTCGATTAGTTCTCTTTTTCTGCACGAGTGTCGAAAGGTTCGCAAGTTGTAGTGTTAACTGATCTTGGAGACACGCTCTTCGCAGATTAGCAGACCATTAGCACTACGGTATGGTATAGGAGCTTAACAAAATGTGTTAATTAGTGTTGCAGCCTAAATAAAGGAGCCAAACCGGCTAAAATTTAGCACTACGTATGTTCGTTGGTGATGAATAAACCGTTATATTTCTTATTTCAATAGTAGGGCTTGGCATGTACAGGAGCTTAACAAAATGTGTTAATTAGTGTTTGCAGCCTAAATAAAGGAGCATACCTGAATAAAATTGCCAAGTACTAAGATCACACAAGATAAGAAGGTAAGAATGGACAGTAGTTGTTGCATGCTTGAGGTATCGGATATTGACCAATTACAGGAAAAAGTGGGTTCATGTTCTCTTTGTTGTTTTGTTTTGTAACCTGAGTTTACCGTTGCTAAAACTTCAAGATTCGAAATATGTAATTCCTTGATTCAGAATATATATGTGTGTGACTCCACTAGTGTAAGCACGAAATATACCCCTTATAATTACAACATATCAAGAAATCTTTATGTAGTGAAAGTAGCTGTGGAAGGAGCGGAACGACACATCTTTAATCATGATCAGCTCCATCTAGTCGACGTGGTGACCCTCGCTCATGAGGACTTTGCCCTGTGTAGCTTGGCTTTGCTAGACAGTAGTCCGATAGCCTGTAGAAAGTTGCTTGTTTTTTTGGCTTAGGAGGGTGTTTAAGCAGTAGTTTATCCTACTCGATGATTTGATTTTTCTCTTCTTTGTGCTTGCTGTGGCACAAACTTCTTTGTGGAGATTTGTGCTAACGAACTTCTTTTCCACGTTTAACAAACTTCTTTCCTCTTTTCCTTCTCTGTGCTTGCTTGCTGTGGCAAGCTGTGTAACGAACTTCTTTTCTTCCTTTAAGGAAGGCATCATTACTAAGAAAACGTTATGGTGATTTGCCGTCAATTTTAGTTCCGTTCTTTCATTTTTTAAAAGTATGTCTACTTGCAGTATTTGACAATGTTTTTAATTTTCATTACCAGGGTATATGAAGGAAAAGAGTAGCATCGCTGTAATAGGCCTCAGCGTACACACAGCACCAGTGGACATGCGTGAAAAACTTGCTGTTGCAGAGGAACTATGGCCCCGTGCTATTTCAGAACTCACCAGTCTGAATCATATTGAAGAGGCTGCTGTTCTTAGTACCTGCAACAGAATGGAAATATATGTGGTGGCTTTATCGTGGAACCGTGGTATTAGAGAAGTAGTGGACTGGATGTCAAAGGTAAGAGTTATATTTGATCAAATGCTTGTTTGCCCTGTCCATACTCTTTTGACCTGCTTATCCCTTTTTGGTTGCTCAAATGTGCAGTATATCAATGAAGCCCTAATGCCCATGCTGTTTTTTTTTTGTGTGCAGAAAAGCGGAATCCCTGCTTCCGAGCTAAGGGAGCATCTCTTTATGTTGCGTGACAGTGATGCCACACGCCACCTGTTTGAGGTATCCGCTGGGCTTGACTCTTTGGTTCTTGGAGAAGGACAAATCCTTGCTCAAGTTAAACAAGTTGTCAGAAATGGGCAAAACAGTGGAGGCTTGGGAAAGAACATTGATAGGATGTTCAAGGATGCAATCACAGCTGGAAAGCGCGTCCGCTGTGAGACCAACATATCAGCTGGTGCTGTGTCTGTCAGTTCGGCTGCAGTTGAATTGGCCATGATGAAGCTTCCAAAGTCTGAATGCTTGTCAGCTAGGATGCTTTTGATTGGTGCTGGCAAAATGGGAAAATTAGTGGTCAAACATTTGATTGCCAAAGGATGCAAGAAGGTTGTTGTGGTGAACCGTTCAGTGGAAAGGGTGGATGCCATTCGCGAAGAGATGAAAGATATTGAGATTGTGTACAGGCCTCTTACAGAGATGTATGAAGCCGCTGCTGACGCTGATGTCGTGTTCACAAGCACCGCATCTGAATCCTTATTATTCACGAAGGAGCATGCAGAGGCGCTTCCTCCTATTTCTCTTGCTGTGGGTGGTGTTCGGCTTTTCGTCGACATATCTGTCCCAAGGAATGTCGGTGCCTGTGTATCTGAGGTGGAGCATGCACGGGTATACAATGTCGACGACTTGAAAGAGGTGGTGGAAGCCAATAAGGAAGACCGTGTCAGGAAAGCAATGGAGGCCCAAACAATCATTACCCAAGAGCTGAAACGGTTCGAGGCTTGGAGGGACTCACTGGAGACGGTTCCGACCATCAAAAAGCTGAGGTCGTACGCCGACAGGATCAGGGCATCTGAGCTCGAGAAGTGCCTGCAGAAGATCGGGGAAGACAATCTCAACAAGAAGATGAGAAGGTCCATCGAGGAGCTGAGCACGGGTATAGTGAACAAGCTCCTTCACGGCCCACTGCAGCACCTGAGATGCGACGGCAGCGACAGCCGCACCCTGGACGAAACGCTGGAGAACATGCACGCCCTCAACAGAATGTTCAACCTCGACACGGAGAAGGCGGTCCTTGAGCAGAAGATCAAGGCCAAGGTAGAGAAGACCCAAAGCTGAGACCGGGAGACACTTGTCCGTCTGTATATCTACTTAATACTGCTCCCAGAATGTCGCTACATTCTAATCCCAATATTTTTTTTGATCCTCCACTTGCTGCTGAGTTCTTCTTGTGCCGTGAATTAGCCATGGCAGCCCCCAAATGTGTTGTAGAGAGGAGCAGGGAAGCATGTTTGCTCCAAAACTGCCTGTGTACATTAATTACTGTGGCTGCTGTGGTTAGAGCCCAATTTTCAAGCTGTACTATAATACTGTACTCTATTGGACGAAATAAAGAGGAATATATCAGTGTGTTAATGGATGCATTCGTTTTATATACTTGCATTAGCTCCTGCATTCGAAATGTTGAGCATTAATAAGATTTCCGAACTCTGAAGGCGCTCAGTTGCTTATAGGTTCTGTCGACTCCTTTCTTCAGTGTTATCTGTCTGTTCTCCCTACGAGGCCAAAATTGCTGGACACATCAATAACCAGTTCGCTGATTATCTTTTTGTTGGGCCAATACATTGCTGCCTAACATTTTTGGTCCTTCTTGGAATTTGGCAAGGTTTTATGGTGGCGAATTTGCATCTTAGGTCTTGTTCTCTGTGCGGCGACCAAGACATATTGGTATCTTGTGATGATTGATGAGCGAGGTGCATCTCTTCGCTTGGACGATTGCTGCTGCCTGGTGCTAGCTTTACTAATGCTGATTGAGAGTCTGAGACGGAATCAAGAGTGCAGCGAAGCCAGTTCATCTGCTGAAGGGCACCCCCTCTCCTTTGGTCCCTGCGTCACCGTCTCCCTCTCCCTGTCCACCCCGCAGGAGACGGGAACCGGGCGGCGGCCGACCGCTGCCGGTCACAGTGGTGTGGCGTCAAGTGTGGAGACACTATCTAACCTGTCACACGTCACGAGTGATTCAGGGAGGAAGATCGGGGTTCAGGTAGTCGGCCGGACTTTATACCGCTGCGGAGTTAGGTAGGGGCTGGAGTTAGAGATTTTCTTCTTCTTTGAAGCTTGTAGCATGTTTCGTGCCACGGAATTTCCCCGTCCTCCTCATCCTTGTCACCACGAGTCAAACTCTGAAGGCTTAACCACGTGGTACGATCAGTCGGAATGACACGATAAGCAGAGGCCATGCGTGTCACCTAGGTCAGTATACACACCAGCTGGGCTGCTCGAATATACAATTAGATGAGGTCAATCCGTCACGCTACTACTAGCTGTTAATGACAAGTCCAAGTCGGTGCGCAGCCGGAGTCTCAAGAGTTCTTTTTTTTATAGGACTAGTAAGCTGGCACGTGCAACGCACGTCCGAGAAAAATATCACTTAGGATGTATTTTAGGTAAATTGCACACCATGATGGTCACATTGCCTCATAAAATAATAATATATTGTTTCATCCATTCAGTATCTATAGGTAGTAAACGATGAACATTAAATCTACTAATTAATCCTCCAAAATCCCATTGTTGAACACATTGAATCATTGGGCTTAAATATACTAATTAATCCTCCAAACCCCCACTGTTACACATATCAAGTCAGTCGACAACTTAATTGCAGCTTGATACTTCTTAGAACAACATGATTATAGTACTACCTCTCTCTCAGTTTACAAGGCGTGCGCGTACCCCTAGGTCGTCAATTTGACCAACCTAATATGAATAATATGTTACAAAAAATATACCAATATAAACTTCAGATTTTCTATTTTCAAAAGATATAATTTTTGTGTTATATAGATTATATTAGGGTGATCAAATTGGCAACCTAGGTATACGCGTAGGACTTGTAAACTGAGACGGAGGGAGTATAGAACACAGTTTCAGTATGCAACATAAATTGGTCCAAAAAAAGACCTGTTTAAAGAAAATAGAATACATTCTACACTCTTCGGTATCGCATACCAGGTTGTTCCCTCTTTCCTCATGATGGCATGTAGATTTCTTCCATGGACTCTCGGTGAACTCTCCATTTCTTGTGATTCAGATTGAATGGGAATCTATCAAACATTTACATAGAAGCTGAAATCAGTATGTACTTCCATTTAATTCTAAAAGAACCGGTTATTATAAGTTGTAATTGTGTGGTGGCATCTACGGTGAGTATACAAAATAAAATCATATGCATTTCTGACACGGACAATTTAACTATGCCGAACAATAAAGTGAGTACAAATCTATTGAATGGATGGTAATATATTCAAATGAGATTACTCACACTTATAACCGATCAAGTTAGCTGCCCATGCATTGCAATGTATCCTGCAGATGCACCTCGTCACATCCCCAATCTAAGTTTGTCACTGCTAACACCCCCCCCCCTTAAGAACTCCAAACACATAACTGTGTACTCTTTGTTATATTGCACAACATGCTCTTCTTGGCAATACGTTCTTGTAGTTTTCAATTGTGTCACTATAAACTTCTATCTCCCTTTCTCAAAAGGTTACACACACAGATGGGTTATACTCCCTCCGTCCCATATTAGTTGTCACCGAATCGGATGTATCTCGTGACGAAGGTAGTATTTCACAATGTGCTAGTCTTAGCAAGGCGTGCCTATGCGATAAACTTCTCCCTTTTCCTCCCCCCCATCCCACAGTGCATATATAGAGCAGAGCATGGATACAACAAAAAGAGTTACCTCTACCAGGAATTGGACAACTATTAGGAGGTAGCAATAAACAAACCTTGAACTAAAGAAATTCAACTCATTTTGCCCACGACAAGAAATGGATCAAGGAGATTATAGATAGAAGTATCACAAACATGCATGGTACTATCCTGCGAAAAGGATCAAGAAGATTAGAACCAACAGAAAAATAAGAATAGTAATACAAAGAGCACCCAGGGGACTCACGTGTGCCCTATGGCATGTCCGTTCACTCGCATCATAGATCCCACTGGCTAAAGTAATTGCAGTTCCTGCCTCAAATGTTGCTATCTGGCTGAGAACATAAGAGGGGCCGGATTGACAAGATGCATACATATTGTAGGGTTTCTTCTCACCAGACATGGAGGCGGGGCCGCTGGGGACACGTTAGTGCAGCTAGCTAGATTCCACTGTAATGAAGATGGAGAAGACGAAGAGGAGGAGTATAGCTTAAAGGTGTTGTATCTGTCCTGACGACGTCGACGATGCGCGCGTGCCGCATGGCCGCCCTGGCGAGCCTCCTGCCCTCGAGGAAAAATTCCGCGTGCCATGGAAGGAGTCGTACACGTACTGACGTACGTCTATAGTGATTCCGGCGGCGGTCTGAGTTCGTCTGACCATCCAGATTTCTCTGCATGCACGCCGGCCGAGACCTACTCTTCTTTTCGCCGGACAGACAACGGCGCCTCGGGCGCGAGCGGCATCGCCGAGTGGTGCGATCGGAACTAATCCTGCATGATGGGAGACGGCTGCGGCGTCGTAGGGGCCGGAGGAGAAGGCATCGCACGCATGGCCGAGAAGCTTGAAGACTTCCTCAACTGCGGCAGAAAGGTTCTTGTCCAATTGAATGAAGAGATCATTTTTTACCGCGTCGGCCGTGAATACCATGTCGAGAAGGCGTGCCAGTAGCGCAAACGGTCCGGGCTCTTGCCCACGGCAGCACGGAAGTCGGCGGCGAACACGTTCGCTGCGCTGGTGAGCGACGTGAAGAGCCGCTGGGCCACGCCTTTGTTCGTATTAAGGCGTCGTATTTGCAGGACGAATATTCAAGATGGTTTTGCTTTAATTTTCTTCATTTTCTACCTTGATTAGCGGGAGCACAATAATTACCTGGTAAGTTTCCACCGATTGCTCCTCCGCATGCATGGTAGTTATTTTCCCGCGTGGTAAGTTTCCACCGATTGCTCCTCCGCATGCATGGTAGTTATTTTCCCGCGTGGTAAGTTTCCATCGATTGCTCCTCCGCATGCATGGTAGTTATTTTTCCGCGTGGTAAGTTTCCACCGATTGCTCCTCCGCATGCATGGTAGTTATTTTCTTTCTCTTTTTCAAACGCCTTATTTATTCTCGCGGCGTTTGTTTCCTAGTTTATGGGATACACGAACGGGATGCGGGGCCGGGAACGTTCTTGGCAGAGTTTTCGTCCGCCTAGACAAATGGCTAAACGCACTTTTGACGTGGGTTAATATATATTACCGGTTAGATTAAATTAAGTGTCGCTGATCGTGAGGCTGTAATTGGTTCCTGTTGTTGTATGTACGTAAGGCTGTGTGCACTTAGCGATGAATATGTTTGCTTGTTTAATAGTAGTATAGATATAGAAAAGAGTCTCAAGAGTTCCTAGGCCGTAAGAAAGGTAGTTGGCCACTCGGTGTCTCCCCGCTATAAAAAGTAGCAAAGCAACGCATCTGTGTTCAAACCCTTCAGGTCGTCCCAGTCCTTCAACTCCCCTCCCCACCTTCTCCCTCCGCCTCGCCTTCTCTCGACAGTCGACGCTATAGCTTTTCCTAAGTGCACGCGCCATGGCGAGATCACGAGACACCAGGCTCAGGCTCACGCTCCTCCTCGTCGCCCTTCTTCTGCTAGTTGACATGGCAAGCGTCTGCCATGGCCGACGGACACCGGACGTGGATGCCATGGCCGCCCTCGACGGCGCTCCACCACCGGCGAAGGGCTACTTCGCCGAGCAGGCGTCTTCGTCGACGGCAAGGCAGCATACAGCTCGTGTTTATCGGCGCATGCACAGGGTGTCCAAGAGGCTGGTGCCCCAGGGGCCGAACCCACTGCACAACTGAGCTGCTCCAGCTGAGACTCTCTTCTACCCTGCAAAGAGGAGAATTAGAGGTGCAGTTTGTGCTCGCGGTCACCTTCATCTGAGTGGATGTGAAATAGAACACTTAGGGCCTGTTCGGTTGACAAGGAAAATGGTAGGGTTTGGCAGGGATTGGCAGGGATTCCACCCTCCATAAGTCAAAACCTCTTCCAATCCACCCCAATCCCCCTGTGAGGAGGTGTAACCGAACAAAGCCTTAGGGGTATAGAAGTACTCTGTCTGTAATACTTGTATTTGGCAGTTAAA